GGGAATGGCTTTAACCTGCCAGAGGGGATGAGCTTTAGGGTCCCTTCCTACCCAAACCAGCCTGTGATTCTGTGATTCTCCCGGAGTTAGGTCCAATCGACTTAGTCTCAAGACGGGGATGTCAGGCAGCACCTCTGGGCGGCGTGTGCTCGGAGCCCCTGTCTCTTCATAGCTCTGTTGGGTTTAGCTCCTCCCTGGTTTCTACTTTCTACCAGGTTCTTCTGCACCGTAGTTAGCAATTGAATGAAAACAATTCAAGGTGCTGCAGGTGCCCTGAGTGCTCCTGTAGCCATTTGGAGGTGGTGGGAGCAGGCAGCGGGGCACTGCAGCAGCACCGCTCCGTGCTGCCCTGGCACAGGATGTGCCATTAACAAATAGACCTGTACAACGCAATGTGAAACTTGGCCTGTCCCCAGCAGCCCGAGCGGTGAGAACTGTGCTCCGTGGTGTTTGCTCGTCACTCCCAGGTAAATAAACAGGAGCTTGCCAGCGCCTCGGGACCGCGCCAGAGATGGAAGTGATGCCTTTTTCTTTTTGTGTCTGAAGTTTCTGGGCTGCTGTTCCAGGCAGAATTAGGTTGATCCAGGCAGCAAAGCCCTTCCTGCCCTCGCCCCATACAGCTTCCAGCCCCAAACGAGGGTTTGGGAGATGTAAGTGCCTCCTTGTCTCCAGACATCTGCTCCTGTGCTTCAATTCCAAAGCATGGACCTGGGTGTCTGCATTTTCTGCACCCCATCCAGCCGCAGCAGCCTGGGGAAAACCTGGCAAAGTGGGGCAATCTGCAGAGCACGGAGTCAGTGCGAGTGTTTGGAGGAGCTGGGATGCAAACCTGTGCCCTTCAGGTCCCCAGAGTGTTTATTTTAGGACCCAAAATGCAGTTGTGGATGTACAGACTGTAGGAGCGGTTGCTCACTTCCAGCATGGGTAATTGAGCAGCCCAAGAGAAGAGCAGAGTGTTTGCAAATCCACTGTATCCCAATGGCATGGTCACTGAGCAGTGAGCGGCACCCTGCGGGTGTCCGATGGGTAGGATAACAAGGAGATGTGGAGACTTCTGCTCATGTCCTGGTCTCACAGTGCCTGTGTCCTGCTGGCTTCACTCTTTCCCTCCCTCCGAGTGGGATCCTCTCTTCCTTTGGTACAGCTGGGCTTCATCAGTACTTTTCTCCCCCTGAAGTTTTCCTTCCCACATTGCACAGCCGCTTCCGATGGGAATGCTTCTGATCACTAGTCCAAGAACTGGAGTCACTCCTGGCCTCATTTACCCTGGTTTGAAACTAGCCCCGCAGCTAATACGAGGCAGTGTGACCCTCCACCAGTCCCAGACCTTGGACCCCCAGCAGAGGATGGGGTTGCTGCGTGTCAGGAGGACCATCTCCCAGCGATGCTGCTGCGACAGGAGCAGTGTCCTGGGGGTGCACTAGCTCCTGCCCCTTGGAGACATTGGCCCCACTGGGGACACACTGGAGGCTGCTGCAGCCTCATGCTGGAACTTCCTCTCCTCCCAGATTGCCTCTTCAAAGTCTGTCCCATGAACCGCTACTCTGCCCAGAAGCAGTACTGGAAGGCCAAGCAAACCAAGCAGGACAAGGAGAAGATCGCGGACGTGGTGCTGCTGCAGAAACTCCAGGTGAGCAGCTCTTTTGCTTTCATGCCATCCCTGCACGTGTGCCCTTGATGAACAGGGAGCTCTGCTCAGTCCACGCTGTGACAGCCCAGGGTGAACACAGCAGCGACCAAGGAGCCACACATGATTCCGTTGCTCCTACTACAAGGGAGATGTCCCAGGGAGGAACTATAGAGAAGGATGCAGGGGACTGAGCAGGAAGGGAGAGGAAGGGAGGGCAGTGGTGCTGCTTTTGGGATGAGAGGTGATGTCCACTTGCCTTTCCATGGTGGACATCTTGCTGCCGTGCCCGGCACTTGCTGTCTCAGCCCTCCTGATGCTCCTGTGCAGAGGAGCCCATGGCAGAGAAGGCAGAGGTGCTGCAGCACCCAGGGGTGCCTGGCATGGAGGAGGGAGCCGCTGCAGCCGGGACTGGCTCCAAAGGGCTGTGGAAGAGAAAGGCTCCTGTTGACTTCCACGAGGTCTGGAAAAGGCCCATGTTAAACATTGCACAATCTCCTCAGACAGCTGGCGAGGCCCCGAGCGTGATTCATGAAACCGAAGCTCAGGAGAGACTCATTAAATCATCTCATCAGGCTCCAAGCCCAGCCCCAGCCCCAGCAGCCCCCAGTTTTGCCTTTGGGGAGTGAGGTCTGATGGGGTGTCAGGACAGAGCGTCCCGGAGCATCCTGGAGATGAGGGGCAGGGTCCGGGTCTCCTGCCGTGTCCAGCCGTACGTGGTCTATGGCAACGCTGTTTTCCTGCTCCAGCTAGAGCATAACTTGTAATGTGGACAGCTGTCCTGGCCACGACTGGATAGAGGCTCATTTCTGAGCCTGATTGATTGCACCTTGTTTCGGATTTGTCTTAAAGAGATTCTGTCATTTCCTTGTTCCTTTCCGCTGCTCCCAGTGTTGCCCTTTTGTCAAATGCTCCCTCATGTCCGGAGCCATGTGCCGGAGCCCTTCTGCTCTGCTGATGCCTCCTGTTCCTCCCTGCACTGTCCCAGGCTGCCCACCCATGTCCCTGCCACCCAGTCACACACTGGGGGCTTGGGGACAGACC